GCGTCAACGAAATCCAGTGATTGCAGAGTAAGGAAAAACAAAGAACAAATACTTAGCTACCGGGGTGCGTCCAGATGTTTTGACAGGGCTGGCCCGACTAGACAACCGACTTACGCAGGGGGTGGAATGAATCGGGTGTTCACTCTTAGCATTCATTTTCAATTTCCTTCCGCACTGATTTTAAAAAGGCTTTATATGTGATTTTTTTGATCCAGCAGGTGTCGCCCTTGAGCACCAGCATGAAACCAAAACAACTCGCGCTGCATTGTTGTGTTAGCTTGCTAATGCTAGCGATCTTTATTATGCTGGTATCTTCACACTGCATGTAAATTTACCTGAAATGAGCGTGATCTAGAAACACAGTTAAGCAGTGAGTACAGTATGTTATTCTTCTTTTCTCTAGTCCCTCAATTAAACAACTTTTATACACGAGGGGAGGAGTCAGCTGGCCGTCCTGGCGATGTAAACAAAGTGAAGATAGGACTCTGAAAACTCTGAAAGCATCACAGACAGTGGGACTCGGGTGTTACACCCATTGTAGACAGTCATGACTCACAGAGTTATTTTCAGAGGATATACTTGATTTCTATTATATTTAAGTGTGAAAAATCACATAGAAAGACTTTAAGGTCTTCTAAAGATGTTATATTCAGGTGTATTTGTTTTTAATTCTTACAAACATCACAACAGAGCAGAAACATAGAAACCTTAATGTTAATTTCTCTACGGCCTCAATAAGATCTCCAAAGGTCACAGTGCCAACACAAGAAAATGTGCAATGCCACAAAAGTGAATTCAAGTCAATCAAAAGCTGTTTTGAACTTTGGTCCTGTCGGGAAAGTAGCCCAGTCAGTAGTTTATGGATTAGCACCTGGGGTGGCCAATTAGATTTTAGGGAGGAGACGGGGGCATGCCACCCCAGAGCAGCCATGGGAAACACCCCTGCTCAGGTATCTGTTACTTCAATACTTCAATACTCTTTTTACTTTTCTGTTTTTACAATTCAACAAAATATCTGTACTATCTACTCTGTGCATTTTCAAAACAGACATGGTAGCTTAAGTGCTTTTGAGACAAAATCAAGACAATCTTGATTTTGCATCACTGCATAGCAGCTCCTTCCCAGCTGCAACACTGATTCTTGAATGGGAAACATAGATTATTTCTTTGGTATATCGATTTGGTATATGATGCATGATGAATGCAAAATGACAAATAATTACTTTAAAAGGCTTTTCAAGACGTAACAGACAGAAAAAGGAAATCTTGCTCAGAAACATCGGGCGAGTGATCGCAATGACCTTAATCACATGGACAACTGGACACCGTCAGATGAACGTTAACCAGCCTAATCAGCAGACAGAGCAGATGAAGAGCAGTAAGAAAAATCGGGATCAATTCAGGGTATTGTTTTTGCATTTAATTTGAAGTTACAGCGACTCAAAGTCAACAGACTTCCCAAATATGGCATGATGTGTTGTTGGCTTTGCACAGAAACAGCTGAAGACTTGTCCTACAGAGAGGACACTTCACAGCCTGTACTCTATCTCTTCTTCTGCAGTAAAGAAGTGTAATCATTTCTTCTACTTTCAACAATCTTCTCCTTTTTTTAGTAAAGAATTTGTGTTCTTGTGATTGGCCGTCGAGGTGGGTGCGGCCCGGCTCTCACTTCCTGCGATGTCACGGTGGTGGAGGCTCATTTACGAGCAGAGAAACCTGAATGATGTGTTTTCTGAGCTTCCACACAGATAGGTTTTTTTGTTATGACTCGGCTGATAAGTATTTGCATGATAGCATGGAAGTGCCGATAACAAAAGCATTTTTTTGGGCTGTCTGGTGTCTCCATGGCCATGATTCACCCAGACAACAATGGAAGCAAAACCAAAAAAAAGTGTGGGAGCAAAAGTTGTGAATGAAGATAATACTGGCGTCATTTAGGATTATAGTTCATGTTGTTGTTTGTTTGTTTTTTTGGCAGAAGTTTCCATGCCTCCTTGTAGGTGTAGATCAGGTAGGTGTGAGCTGATGGAAGCAGAGCGTGCAGTTCTGCAACAGAGAAACTTGTCAACAACCGAACATCAACTTTTTGTTTTTTTGAGAACATTGTGCGAGAATTAAATAAAATAAAATAAATAATAATAAAATTCAGCCCTTGAGATCTTAACTCCTTTTTGCAAAAACTCCAGCAAGAGACAAAACGTGTCACAAACTGAAAACACACTGACCATAAGTTGTTTTTTTTTGTTAAGTTTGTGCTCCAGCCAATGAACGGGAGCGTGCCTATGTTCCCACATTTCCTTTTTTTTGAGAAATTTGTATCCTGTGAGAACATAGGGCCTAATTTTGAGAAAATTCTGGTCACACTTTATAATAACCATCATCTATAAATGGTAAATAATGGTAAATAGATAGTTAATTAACCATTAGTTAATAGTTATTTACTGTTAACAAACAATGAAATGATAGTTAATAATGTTTGCTAATGATTTGTAACAGTTTATTATACATTATAACATTTGCAATGTGCAATGTGTGTGCAATGCAATGTGCACATCAATAAACTGTTAACATAACATACATTATAGCATTACAAATCATTACAAACAAACATTATTAACTATCATTTCATTGTTTGTTAACAGTAAATAACTATTAACTAATGGTTAATTAACTATCTATTTACCATTATTTAACCTTTATAGATTATGGTTATATAAAGTGTTCCCAAAATTCTTAGAAATGTGGGAACATAGGGCTGACCCCCAATGAACACAACTTAAAAGAGAATATGAAAAGTTTACAGGAATGTCAAATATGTCTTTTAATGCGCAGTAAACTGAAGCAATCGTTTCCTCCGTGCAGTCTATACAGACCATCTACATGACCACCAGGATGAGTTTCCAGCCAGCAGCTGTAGCCTCTGCCACGCTGTGCTGCATGTCTTCAGATTTTTACACACTCCTACTTTTGGCTGCCGGCAAATAATATCCAAAATATGCCCAGAAACTGCTGTGTGATGGGATGTATTACACAAGGGATAAAGAGGCCAGAGCTAGATATTTATAAGCTTCCATTTGAAAAATCTGGGTCTTAAAGAATGGATACAGGCAATAAGAGGGAAACATTAGGGTCCTGACACTCATGATTTTGCGGGGACAAACTGTAGAGGTTGAAGCGGAGGCTTTATAAGCCCGGGTGTTTTTAGTGATTATTTTTCAGGTGAGACATTTTTCCAAGGACCCCCCTCATTATCCTAACTTTGATAAGCAAATATTAATACTATATAATGATGTACTATATAGTACTTAGCAGCGATAGAATTAGGCTACATTTATACTTTACAAGTAATTCATTTTATAAACTTTGAGAAAATGTTGGTTCGAGGTGTTTTTTGTTTTGAGTTTTTTTTTTTTTTTAATCGTTGCTCAGTATGAAGTGACCGACATGTCATGATCATATCAGAACTGATCTAAAGGCACTAAACTAAAGTGGGCGGGAGTATTGGACAAAAATAGCTGATTTTATTGGTGTAAGAGGTCCCAGTTTGTAGATATGCTTTTTCAATGATATAGCACACTTTGACAATTGTTTGTCAGTTATTCCACGGACCCCTAAGCTATGGTTTGCGGGCCTATGGGCGTCCTGGGACCCCACTTTGAGAATCACTGCACTAGGTAATGGCGCCCTTTAAGCCTGGGAACTTTTGACTGTTGTCTAACTCTGTTTGTGTGTGAATGTTCTTTGGTGGAAATTGTCTGTGTTGACGGTGCTGTGAAAAATAATTTCCCCATGGGGTCAATAAAATCTTTAGTCTAGGTGTTTGTCTTTGTTATGTTTAATTTTGATGATTTGATTAATTGGTTGTATAAAATCAGCACATTTTACATCTGAAGTTAGTGGGATCTTTTGGTAAGATGGTAAAAAGAAACAGATAATATAGAGTTTCTCTTCATCTTTCCTCACCTGACTTTAAAATTAATCCTTTGCATGCCGTGTTTTTGGCTAGCGACTGGTATGTGTCAGTATTTGGCTGTATATTCAGGTCCCTGAATCGGGCATGGTTTTCAAAATAAAACACATAGCGCCCTTTCTGCAGATAGAAACAAGGTTATGTCCTTTTCAAAAGGTTCCAATAAAAATCACTGGAATGAAAACAAAAACATAAAAGCCAGACCGCAGTTCAAATGTTCACTTGGCAGCGGCACAACTTGTACTCTCGCTGTAATTTGAGCTGGCATCGGTTCTCAAACCTTTATTTATCCAGGGAGGATTCCGCTGAGCAACACCCTCCTTTCACAGTCACACCTGGGAGCTGTAGTCATCAGTTTTTATGGAGAAAAAAAAAGGTATTGCCCTGTCTTTGTGATACACTTCAACAGTATCTTACCTTTGGGTGGTTTGAAACTTTAATGTGTAATCATAGCTGAATCCCAAGAGGCTAACTATCTGAGGCAAAATCGTAAAGTATTATTGCATTGTTTTCATAATGGTGACAAACAACAGAGAGAAACAGCCCGACGAGACAAAGAGAGAGGGGAAGAGAAAAAAAAAGCAGAGAGCTTTGTCATCTTTTCCAAAAATTCACAATATCATTTAATATAAAACACCTTTAAATTGAACATAATGAGGAATTCATCATCAGGAGATCCCACCAATCCTCTACCACTCGATCACTGCAGTCCACCTCCTCGGCAGGCTGGCTTCAATTGGTACGTCCCGAGTGCACACAGAAAGGGTTGAAACATGCATTTTTTTTACTATATTGTACAAAGTCAAAAGCGAGAAAACAGGAGGTCTTTTTTGTGCCGTTATTGGGGCATAGTGTCTCTGCTGCCTCATTGGGGGGGATCCAGAGGCACAAAGAGGAAGGGGGGCACAGTCTTGATAGTTGGGCATGTACAGAGGTTGTCCGTTTTGTTTCCTGGCACTTTTGGATAAAATGCCCTCCTCTCTTTTAGACCGACAGCTGAAGGGAAAGCGGAAACGTGGTGTAAGGCAGGGATATGACTCAACAAGACTTTAGATATTCAAGATAACAGTTTGTTTAAATTTGACAAACAGAAAATGTCAGTGCGGCTCCTGTGCTGTCGTGTAGGTCTTGGCAGTAACCCCACCATGTTGCTGGTAAACGATCAATGAGTGAGGAAGCAACGTCCATTTTTTTTTTCTGTATCTAAGACAATCCCATAACGGTGCTGCGTTTTTGAACGTCAGACACGACAACATTTTTCCTCCCATCCACACATTCAGTAACACATTCTCTCACCTCCCTCCCTCTCTTCTACACACACACTCTCACAAACACACACGCTCTCAAACTACAGATGCCACGGAGGTGACGGAGGTCACCTTGTTTTCGTCCGCCCAGGGCTGCAGGTTCTGCAGGGCGTACAGGGAGGAGTTGTGCAGGCAGAGCGGGTCGGGCTGCAGCGGCTGGCTCAACGTCTTCTGAAAGGCTTCCTGCTGAAGCTGCAGCATCAGCCGGTTGGCCTGCTGCCTCTCCGCCTCCCTCTCCTCCGCAGTCTGTCTCCTGGGTGGATGAAGGGGACAAAGGGGGAAACAGAGGACATAAAAAACTAAATTATGTTTGTTTTTTTATGGGGGATTTATGCACACCAGATTGAGTCATGTTGCACACCACAACATCAAAATGCATCATAACTTTCAGACAGGAAACCGTTTACATTCAATTGTAGTTTTTTAGGGTCATTTTTAGAATATTAAGATTCTAATAAAGTAAATAAATATGTATGATGTTCAAATATATGATTGGATTACAATTTATTTATTCACACTCTTTTTTGAAGTATCAAAAAAGAAGAACATCTGGAGTGGTTTTGGTTACGTTTGTCAGAAACTGCAACCATAGCAACTGCTGTTGAGTGCAACATAGACATTGCTTTGGTGTAAAAAGGTCATTAAAGGAAGCCATTGAAGGTTTGTCAGACTATTGTATCTCCTAAAAAGTTTACTACACAAATGACGGCCAGCAGAATATGAACTCTTTATTTGCTGCAGCGTGCAACTGGGTCAAAGAAATCGTAATGAAAAGAGAGGGGGTAAAAATAAAACGTTTTCCTGTAATTCAACCTGCTAAAGTTCACTGCTTTTAATGCACACATATTCAACACCTGTGCCGGTGACTTCAGCCTCAAGCTGGATGACAGCTGATCAGGATGAGTGACAGGTGTTGGTGACTGACGGAGGGAGGGGAGGAACAGCTTCTCTTTCTGCCTCAAGGTAGGAAAGTTACATCTGTTTGTTTTGTTTTTCTTTACAGAGCGGCATATGTTAACAAAACCATAAAACATCCATTGCTGTGTTATAAACATTTAGAGTATGTTTTAAATGCTGCAGCCTCTTTAGAGGAAACATTGAGTGTTGGTGTCTAAGAGTATCCAGAAAATAAGGAAGGATACACACAATAAAGATACACACACTCTGTCTCTGTATCTGTATATTTTTATCTCTTCAACCAACTGTGTCGTCTGCATGAATTCATAATAATAATAAAAATACATTGGTTTTACATAGCGCTTTTCTGAAAACTCAAAAGACGCTTTGATAAAAACATAAAACAATATAACAAAACAAAAAACGATGAGGACAGTACAAGGAAGAAGTCATGTGGGGGGGGGAGTTAGTGGTTGTAGGCAGTGATGAAGATAGAAGAATGGACGTCGAGATGTTTTATTCCAGGAGTTTGAAATCTTGCAAATGTTTGTGTAGAAGATATTTTATTATTTGTACTTTTATGGTTTATCAATTAAAGAAATGTGTACACTCTGAGTCTGCAGGGTTATGGGGTAAGGTCGTGCCCTACAGTATGTACGATCCTCCAAGCAGGGGGGGTCCAGGTTCAAGTCCGGCCTGTGGCTGCTTTCCCTCATGCCATTCCCCTCTCTCTCTCTCTCTCTCTCTCTCTCTCTCTCTCTGATTTCCTACTCTATCCACTGTCCTGTCAAATAAAGGCAAATCGCCTCAAAATAAATCTTTAAAAAAGAGGTGAGTGAGTGAGTGGATGAATGCAGAACAGGAATACAAATGTGTGATTTTCTTTGTAAGAACTTCTTTAAAAACAAAAAGGTTGCGTTCTAAATATGAATACGAGTTTAAAATCTGTGTTTCATGAATAAATAAATAAAAATCTCTCATACATTAAAATGTTATTAAAATGAATCTCCTGACTTGTTTACATCTGAAAACAACATTTCACTTTCAGGCACAATGAGGATTATTTAAGCCCTTTTTAAAACATGACGTTACCAACAACACAAAACCATTATGAATGACCCAACGCCTGCCGTCAGGATCAACAACAACATACAAATGGCAGGTGGATCTCACAGGCGGAAACACACACCTCTGAAACAACTCGTTCATGCACACCGAGCTCCATCCATTAGCCACACATTATTGTTAACAGCATTATCATAATCCGATTGGCCGGCTGTTGATTCGATCATCGTCTTGTTACTAGCGTAGTCGTCACGCAAAGACATCCCTCATGCTCATCCTATCAGGTGCACACTACGGGGAGAAGGCATAAATCTCTGCAAAACCAGGAAATCAGAACAAAAAAAAAAAACAGTTACGCCAATTCCCTCGCTTCTCGGGGACGGGCTGTTTAGTCCTGGATTCACTTTGCTGGTGTTTTATTTCAAGCTAATTCACTTTTATCACATCTTGAATTTAAAAAAAAAATGCATCTTTACTTTCACTGCTTTTGAACGTAATTATTCAAATAAAAAACCTGTATGACTTTTTTTTTTTTAAAGGACCTTGCCATTAATGCGTCACATGAATTAAAGGAGCAGTGCGTAAGATTTCACAACATCGAGCAGCAACTACAGGATAACTTAACATGGCCTTAAAGCACATGAAAGGCACTCTCTTTAAAAGATAAAAAAGAGTCTTACACACAGGTCTTTGTAAGTGTTATTTATAAGACATAAAACGTTCTAACTTTCTGGGAGATGCAGGGTTTCTGTCGTCAAAGACAAATCAGTATTTTCGCACATTTTTTTTACTTTGTCATCAATATTAATTCAATTACCGGTAAAATGTTTCTTGAGTGACCTTGCCACAAATCTGTAATATCGACTTTCTCTCCATTTTTTCAAATCTCATCTCAAAACACATCTTTTTAAACCGGCATATTCAGTCTGATCATTCTCCACTCGGTCTCATAACTCCTTTACATCCTGTACATTTGTGTGTTTTGAATGGTAATTTTATCGTTGTGTTGTCACTTTGTCGTTTTTATCTCTGCTCTGTAAGGTGACCTTGAGAGTTTTGAAAGGAGCCTTTAAATAAAATGTATTATTATTATTATTATTATTATTAAACGTTAAATTAATTTGATGCTTTTAGACAGATATGCCAACAAAGCCGCCCTGAAATGTAAACCGGGCCTGCAAAACAAAAAATTTTTATCAAGTGTTTTATTCCAGTTGAAAAATAATTCTTAACAGCTTTAAGATCATTTAACCATTAAAACTCTAAGAGGTTATTAGCCGTTTGTAATGTGCTTTTGAAAAATGCGTCCTGTCCCTTTAAGTATGGGCAGGGCTTGATAATTTGATTTCCTACTCATTTACCTCCAAATGGCAATAAACAACAGTTAGAATGAAGTGAAGCGAGTGTGTGTGTGTGTGTGTGTGTGTGTGTGTGTGTGTGTGTGTGTGTGTGTGTGTGTGTGTGTGTGTGTGTGTGTGTGTGTGTGTGTGTGTGTGTGTGTGTGTCTGTGTGCTGTCTATAGACCTGGCAGTGGATTCCTCCTGTGAGTGTTTCAGTATTGCTTTGGACAGCAGCTTTTCTAAAAGGCCTTTCAGGACGCTCACGAGTAATTGTGCTTGGTCAAGTGAAGTGGCCTCGACTGGCAGCTAAGCTAAGCAGAATAGGTGTTGTGTTGTTACGACGTCTCAAACTGCTTCAGAGGCCGTTTTACTCGTCTTTTAAGTAAACCCACTTGGAGACCGGGACCAAAACATTCAGCTCTGTGGATTTACGCCTGGAGGAGGGGAATCTTCTGAGTGAAAAATCTTGTTCTAATAAAGAGGAAAAAGCACCACAGCCTCTTTGTTTTTTGCTCTTGGGAGCAAAATATGGCACTAAAACTGAGAATTATGATCCTTTCACACTGCATTAAACTGCCAATGATAACACTTTTTCAAGCGAGAAAGGGAGAGCGCCCGCCTGCATTCTTACCGCCATTTTGTCCGTCTGTTCTGGAACCAGGTCTTGACTTGCGCGTCCGTCATCTTCAGGGCTTTTGCCAAGGTGGCGCGCTCCGCCGACGCCAGGTACTTCTGCCGGTGGAAGCGCTTCTCCAGCTCGCAGATCTGCACCCGGCTGAAGGAGGTGCGGGGCTTTTTCCTCTTGGGCGGCGTCCGGTTCTGGTACGGGTGTCCGATGCGACGGGTCACGGAGAAGGGCGAGAGGGCTGCTGGAAATGAAAAGAAAAATGGATGTATTTGACTTTGTTTTGATGAGTGTTAGGCAGTATTAGCATTTGAGATAAGATTTTTAGAAGTAATTGAAGTTTTTGTGTCAGCGTTTTATTTTTCATTTATAAACTGGAGTGAGCTTCACTTCTGAACCCAAACTCTTATTTCCCAGGAGCTTTTCTGTTTGTTTAGCTCACGTTACAAACATCATTTTGTTTTCCAGTCCACTCGGTTAGATACAATTATTGTCCATTTTGTCTTAACTCTGGAAAAAGGCCAGTGTGTGTTTGGGGGGAGTCGGAGAAGAGAGAAGGCCCAGAAGCTGCCAATTGAAGAAAACAAATGTAATTACGCTTGATAATCCCCCCCTGCCAGATTTAAGAACCAAACAGCCGTCTGATTCATGCAGAACGGAAGAACCAACAAAAAGTCAGAGACAGACTTTAGGAAAACTGGGATGTGCAGAATCAGCTAAATAAAATACTCTATAGGAGAAAATATTATGCAAATATTAGAAACAGTTTAAACTCCTAGATAAGCATTTTTCTTTACATTTTCACAAACAAATGTTTTCAATTTAGAGGGATGCACTTCATAATAAGCAGTAAAACACATGTTTAGGGGTGTTTTTAAGGGGGTAGAGGGGGAGGGGGTCACTCACCTGGGCAAGCCCCCTTTGGGAAAGGATAGTCTGCTAGAAGGCCATTGCCGTCTCGCAGGTGAGCGAGCTCGGGGTAATAGCATTTAGCTAACGTCTCCATAGTGCTCCAGACGGGGACCCTGCCGATGTCTCCCTTGGGGAGAGGGCAGAGGGACCCGGCGGCCCCCAGCCCCCCTGTAGCCTCCCCGGCTCGGCTCTCCTCTGCCTGCTCCCCTAAAGGAAAGGGAGACACATTGAGGTCCCACATCTGGAGCACAGCAGCACAGCAGCCGGCACTGTGCAGGCGCCGACGCATAGCAAGTTAATCACATGAAGGATCCCTGAATGATGAGCAGAGTCTGCTTTAACGTTATTATCTAGCAGAGACTTAAGTTAAGAGAGGTTTAGCTGAAAATGAGACATCTGCCATTTAGAAAAATATGTATAGCTCACAAAGATAAATGAAGCACATACTGAGTACTAAACAGAATCAGAAGATCGAGGGTTAATGTGAAGGTCAGAAGATTATTTTATAAACACAATAATATCATAACCCCACTTTAAAACAAAGGCTCGAGCAATCTGAGTGCTATTCCACAAACTAGCAAAGAAGACATTGTTACATGCTTTTTCTCCTTTTTTGGGGGGCAATGGATCAAAAGTATAAGATCAAATTTAACATTGGAACAAAATATCTTCTGCACAAATCTAAAGATTCCTCATTTAAACTCTGAACAATAAGTCAGTAAGTATTTTCTGGCAGTGTTTGCCACCAGAGCAGAATTATTTCAAAGCATTCAATTTTGCTACTATATCTTCCATAACAATATCAAGTTTCTTCTTCTTTATTTTTTTTTACATTTAAACCCTGACTGTATCAGTTTTTTTAGGTCGTTTGCTCTTAAAGCAAACTTCAATTTGGCTCAAAATGTCTTTTAAACAAACACAAAGCATTCCTACATTTAAACCCCTGACAATATACATATTAACAATATTTGCCAGTTTTACTCAAAAAATGTGAAATTTTGGCCCAGAAGGTCTTCCATACAAAACATCAAACTCCTCAAAATCACGTATTGTGTGTCATCAGATTAATTACATTTGATAATATGCAGTTAGTGCAGAACATCAAGCAACTTTCATCAATAATTCCAAACAATATATCATTTGTTTTGGCACTCACATCAACCGTATGCAGAATTATTCTACAGGCACATTAAGTCCAAACTCTGTATGTTTAGATGACTGGACAGACATTGTTATGAACATGCATTAACTGGTTTGTGAATGTGTGAGCTCTCATTGTGTTATTGTTCTGCTGGTTCACTTTCCCAGATGCCTGTATCTGGGTATTAATAACAACTTATCCTCTGCATCATAAAATATCTATGAATCCTGTCTATTTTGTCAGCCACGGGTAAACAGAAGATCGATAAATGTAATGAGATCGTTTCTGGCCATGGATCCACTCCCCTGGCCACACTCTCAGTGCTTTTTTTTAGACAAAATGGAAATCCACTACAGAAAAAAAAAATAGAATGTGTATCTTTGTGTCACTCGTTCCCCCAAACAAGCTGTTTTGCCTCCTGTCTTACAGGGTGTTTATTTGTTGTTGTTTTGTCAGGGAAAAGCTCACCAGAAGCCAAAATGAATATAACATCTGCATAGGTGTCCCAAGAGGGGCCACGTGCTTTGTTTTTGTTTTTTTGTTGTTTTGTTTTTTTTGCTCGCAGAGTTTCAGCAACCCTGAAAAAATTCATTTGCAGCACAGACGATGACAATTTGGATGGAAAATGGAACATGAAGTGATTACGCGCTCGGCAGTCGTTTCCAGGGAGCAGCCGACTTGTCCCCTGATGGTGCTGAACACGAGTGGCAAATTGAGGCAAGCGAGAGCAAATGACTTGTAAAATCAAGACAAAGCGCTTCAATGTGCCTTTAACTGTAGGTCACATAAAGTTAAACATTACCTGAGTGTAAATTAGCAACGCTAGATTTAGTGCCTGGAATAAAAATGCCTTTTTTTTTTTATTGTGTTCTGCAGCTGGATTTATTGTGACGGTGTTTTTCGTTTGCTTCCTCTCTCATTATTATTTTTAATCTCCCACAGTAATATGCCTATAATATTATTATCAGGTTTCACATTATGTGTTTGCTCTGATGCTCCACAGTAGCATAAATGGTAATTGTATCCCCTCTAATATTCCTGTTGGGACTGAGACAGACGTCTTTGGTATTTAATCATGAGTTTATAGTGACAAAATCCCCATGATGTTTGGGATGTTTCTGTGAAGTGTTCTCAGTGGACAGTAGCACCTCTGCAGCCTTTAAACCTGACTTTATAGTGACGTTGTTGTGTTTATTCTAACAGGGACGTTTCAATAGCTTTTGCTCTATTTGAACATTGTGTTGTTGGCTCTTGTTTTTTGGTCCAAAATAAAATTGGGTGTAGCCTCATACGGGTTACATGCAGAGAGCTAACAGGCCTGTTGTTGCTCCCAGCAGCAGCAGCAGGTCTGGCTCACCAATACATGCGCATTTAGACGGCTATTTCAGGCCATCTGTGGGGCTAACTAATGGACCAGGCGCATACAAGCACGTTCAAGAGGAACCCAGGAGCGTTTGGACACCGACAACTGCAGAGGAAACTCTCTCTCACCGTGTGCAGAATGCTGATGAATACAAGAGGATGCTGGACACTGCAGCAGAAAGACACGTCCGGTGTTTGGAAAGATCATTTTTAAAAGTTAAAGCATCTCAGGAGGCAGATATATGTTTAGATTTTATGCATATCTATTATTATGGAGAGTGGACGTTAAGAAATGATGCAACCTTTAAGCTTGAGTGGTCTTTAAAGCAAACAATAAACTGGATTTCTGAAGCAATTTGAAAAAAAAAAAGACTGTCCCTGCTCAACTGCATTAGTTTAAATAAAATGAAAAATATAACCCATAATCCATTCTCTTCATTTTAACACTCAAATATGTTTAGTATCCCTGTGTGTTAACATTTTAGTCTCAATTAAAGGTAGCATGCACCTTTCTCAAAGGTATAAAACAATATTTCAAACATTTAGATTTTAGGAAAACAGACAGAGATTTGCAATGATGCTGATTAAGCAACACTGTTATTTACAATTATCATTATTTAAATACAAAGAGAGAAACTGGATGGGGAAATAAGACAAAATTAGGTCAGGGTGTTTTAGGTTTCCTGTAATGTCTAAATTAAGGGTTTAAATCTTTTCACTCAGAGAAATGCAAATTCAAATATTTAAAAACAGCATGTTGAAAATGTTTTGTTTTTTTAAAGGAGAAAAGGAGAAATCTGGTTCCCATGAAGAAGAGAAGAAAGTAAAAGAGAAACCTAAAGAACATGCTGCAGACTTTTTCTTTCATCATTAAAAAAAAACCGAAATGAGCGGGTGTACTAAATGTGCTGCCTGGCTAACACGATTGAGCATAAGCACATGGAAATAAATAAAATGCTACCGTGGAGAATGTGTTTCCCATAATAAAAGCAGCTCTACTTAATAACACTTGTGTGTGACAGCGCCTCCCTTCCCCTCTGCGGATATTACCTCTGCAGCAATCTAATAAATACGGCCGTGAAGGATTCTAAAGGGGATATTGAAATATAACATGAACATATATTGCTATTTATTACACTATACGGGACGAAACGCAGACACACACACAAACACACACACACACACACACACACACACACACACACACACACACACACACACACACACACACTGGGTTCTGTCACCGAGAGGAGATGCTGAGCGTGGAGACACGGAGATGAAATGCAGAATGTTTTCCATTAAAAACTCAGACAGAGATTAACCGGAGAGAAAAAAGGTTTAATTAGGTTTTTTATTGGAGCTATATGTGGCCGGAAGGAGAGATTCACGTGCTGGATCATCGCTCTGTTTATTGTCAAGATGCCCAAATGATCAACACCATCTCCTCTTATTATTATTATTATTATTATTATTATTATTATTATTATTATTATTAGTATTAGTATTAGTATTATTATCATTATCATCATTATCATCATTATTATTATTATGTGATCTGCTTACTGTTTAGTGGTTGTATTTATTATTATTTTCACGTGTCTGTTAAACAGTTTGAGTATCTATTTTAATTTATATTTAGTGGATATATGTTATACTACAGACGATATATAGCCTATATTTTATTTTACAAAGGTTAAGTAACTGTTCAGTTTTTATATTTTGTGTTTTTGTATTTTGGGATTTGTTTGTGTTTTTTTTTTTTAAAAGCTCAGATTTAAATACATTTTTAATCAAGTGATAGTTTTCTTATTGCACTAAAAGTAGGCTTTAACTTATCAAAGAATACAAATAACACTAATAATTATAGTGATAGTAATCGTGTCGACTTTGCTGTGAATATTTGAATAATAAATACATTAAAAAAGGGAGAAGGAAACTATTGCTCTTCAGCAGGTCGGTCATTTTAAATCATTTAGTACCCATAAACTGGTCTTCATCATAAACCCTCCAGCACATAAACAAGTCTTATTTCTAGACCTGGACTGAATTATGTTTTTAACGTCACAGAGTTTAATCCTCAGCGTCAGTTGGATAAAACTCCTCCACATTTATTAGGTGAAATTAGTGCCGTTAATAGGACAGACACAAAAAAAGAGATTCTGCAGCTCCCCCCCTCCCAAAAAAAAAAAAAAAAATGTAACAGGTTTCGTTTACAATCCCTGCATCCCACGGCTGGCAGAGCTGGAAGCCTTTTGGCAAAATGTTTGGCTGTTTTAAATTTTGAAAAGCTGCAGGAGGCCGTTTCTCTGCTTCGGTTTCATCCTGAAAACACGAGACGAGGGGAAACATTTGAAACGCTCCTCTGGCCATCAGGAGGGATGATGGTCCATTTGATTTACGGCCTTTTATAGGAAACAGAGCAGGCTAAATGTGGCTGTGTGTGTTAGTGCGTGTGTGTGTGTGTGTGTGTGTGTGTGTACAGTAGTGTGTGTGTGTGTAGCTGATCTCGGCCTGATCAATACAGTGCAAAGATATAAGCTGCGAAATAATTACAGCGACACAAAGCAGAGAGAGAAATTAAACGAGAGGCCCTCTGTGACTATGAGCAGAATTGATAAGCCTATTTACACTGGATCTGTTTGCAGTTGACACATCGTCCCCTACTATTTAATAATTCATCAGGCAGAAAGCAGCGAATAGTGGATATTTAATGCACTGGGGGGGGGGGGGAGGAGGTCGGCAATCCATGATGTTCCCCTTTTTCATCTTCATAACGATGAGGTCATGAAAAGAGAGAAACGTCCCCTCAGAAAAATACAGAGACGTAAAATAATGATGCAAAAGAAAGCATGATAAGCATATAAGCATATTTTTTGTGCTATTTCTAGTTGTTTTTCATTTACTAACAACTATTGATCCGGGGCTAAATTATCCATTTGAATAACATTAAAATTAAAGGTGATCAATGTAAAAATAAATAGGTGAGTGACCTTTGTTTTAAATGCTTCTGCAAAAGTCTCTTTATATCCAAAAGATATAAATATTTGTTTTGGTACAGGTAAGAAACCAAAAGATTGAACTACTTAAATGAGCATGACTGTATATGACGTTGTGTGAAGGTGAAACTAAACTTTCTAATGTAAACAGACACCGAGAAGAAATGAAACTGTGATTATGTAACGAAGATTGATTGCACTTAATTGCAACAATTAAAGTTTGGTTTGTTTAAAAAAATAAAGCATATTTAAATATTCTAGTTGTTTTAATTGCTGTTTAATATAAAATAAAAGGAGTTATTTATTGTCTTTTTATTTTCTTCAAAAAAAAGAAGATAAAATCGATGTTATTTAATTAAAAATGTCCTCTGAATCTATCGTGAGTTTAAAAAAAATACTTATTGCTTTCTCTTAATGGCATTTTAAAATTTAAGTTTGGAAGAGCAAATAACATGCAACTTTAAGATGTTGATTTGTCTCCAAAATCCATAAATCCTACAGTAAAAAAAAAAATGGAACGAGTTGATTAATGTCTGAGGTTTGTAAAGAGTCTGTATTTGGATTCAGATCACAGTCTGGACTTGAATCAGGGAAAGTTTACTAAATGTACGTGAGGTTTTTGAGATTCATTTTAAGGAACTGAATTTATCTCGTTTAGATTTAAAATGCTGCATCATTGTAGTGGAAAATACAAAATATAATAGTCATAGTAATATTAACAGTAAACAGTTCGTATCCTCTACTATAAAATGTTGTATCCTGCCATATGTGATTACTATTATGACTCGTCTTCTGCTTTGTCAATTGGCTCGCAGACGAAGAAGGAAAAAAAAATCATTCATCCTCATGAAGAGAAAGGCAACGTCGTTATCCGTCATCCGCTGTAAATGGAGAGTGATGGTCCAATACTGATTCATCAGCATGTCTGTGTCAATTTCTGCTCCCTTTTATCAGACTGCCCATTCAGCATCATAAAGCTCACCCTGTGTTTTCGTGTAAATACGACTCATCAGAGGAACTTTAAGGAGCTATAGTCTCACTTTGGCACGCACACTTCTGTCCTATTTCTACACAATAATGAAGTCAAATAAATCAAGATGAATAAAAAAAAACACCTTTGAGTTCTCGGGTAAAGTGTACCATAATACTACTCTGTGCAGGAGCGTTTTGGGTCATTTGAAATGCGAGTGAAGGAGAATGAAAGTAACCTTTTTAGGCCTACATCTGTTCAAATAAAACACAAAGCAGACTTCAGGTGTTGCAGGATCATGCAGAAACTCTTTACCTGTCAGTCTGTCCTTGGCGAACCTCCTACTGCTCTCCATCCACGGGAAGGTGAAATTGGCCGCGTTTCCCATCCCCATCCCGGGCACCGAGGCGATGCCGGGTCCGATGCCCGGCGGATGCGACGCGGGGGGCGGATGCGGCGCGGCGGCGGCAGCAGGCGGAGGCGGCATGGGTCTGTGCGCAGGCACCCGGATCACCCCGCCTGCACCCCAGAGTTCACGTTAACGTTCATGTTCATACTGACGTTCATGTTCATGTTGACGTTGTAGGAGCCCGCCAGACCGGCCGCCGCCGCCATGGAGCAGGCCGGGTTGTAGACGCTGTTGTAGCCGTTGCTGTAGACGTTGGAGGCCAGCGCGTAATCCGGGTCGCCGGTCCGGTTGGGCAGCATGCAGCCGCTGGACTGGTCCGAGCTGTTGAGGATCTGGTCGATGCCGAAGCTGATGGGCTCATGCTGCTGCTGGTGCGTCTGGTTCACCTCCTCGATCCCAGTGTGCTCCATAGTTTTGTATCAGTGATGCAGTCTGTCAGTTTGTTGGACGTATCTTTGTCATGTAAGAATTAACGCCTCGGGAGATGAAATGTTTGTATGTGTTCTGCAGAATTTGTGTCGTCAAGCATCGACACGGGCCTCTTCTACTCCCAGGAAACCAACATCAAGGTGTCCAGCAGCGCTATCCAAAATCTTGCCATCATTTTTGTTTTTTTGTCCAGCACCAGGATCGAGATGTTCCCTAAATTAAAAACCTCTCCATCGGACTAAGAATAAAGCGTATCCATCTTTTAACAGCGCGATCTCTCCCTGTGAACTACACAAAAAGGAAAGCAAGAAAAGGGGGTGCCAAATGGTTATCCCGAGTACTTACAAAACAAAAATCCGTGATTTTTTTTTTTTTTTTGGAGGGTGGAAATGAGTTCTCTGGAGAGCCCTGATGCGCTTTGTTCGTCTACTCTGCCAGCGACGATCCACACGCAGAGGGCATCATGGTGGTGGTGGTTTCCCAAAGCTCGTCGCGTCAAAATAAAGCGACCGACAAAACAAAACAAAGAGAAAAAGGCAAGAAAACGAAGCGCTGACCTCGCAGGCGTGCAGATTAATTGGAGGTGAGAGCGATGAGATGGCTCTGTTGTGCTGAATGTTGAAGTGCGTTTCAGCAGGTGAGACAACCCTCTGCGTAAAAAGCTGCCATTCGGTCATCCAGCCAAACCTCCCTCCCCTCCCCTCTCCTCTCCTCTCCTCTCCTCCCCTCTCTCTCTCTCTCTCCCTCCTCCTCTGTAGGGCAGTTGTTTTGCTCGGATGTCTTAAAGAAGCCGCAGCTTGCTTCATCTTGAGAAGCTTCTCTGCTGGTAAACTGGAGGGTTTGTGCCTTTTAGTGGAGCTGGAGGCACAAACGGGTCAACCAGTTTCCAAACAGTTTCACGTCCTTATGCTAAACATTAAGAAATAAATTCATTAATTTAAGGACAACCATTGAAATAATTGCACCCTGCAACATAATCATTCAATTATTTTCCCTAACCCTTCAGATATTTTTCTTTAAATATTTTTTTAAGGTGAGTTTTTATAAATGTCCTATAATAATTGAATCTCTATTTTTTTTAAAACCATGTTAATATTTATAGACAATTGGCTCACAGTAATTGGGGAATAGGGATGAATAACGACTAAATTTGATGAATAAAAACAACAAAATTAAGTGAAATTTAAAAAAAACAAAACAAATGGATGAAAGGATCTGGGGTTGCTCTACTCCACTGGAAAAATGGACCTCAGTAGAGGTAACTATCAAGTGCTCGTTTTATTCGTTTCCCTCTTGTTCTTACAGTCTCCATACAATTTGCTTTGTTGGACATTTATAAATAAGAAGAAAAACAGATGCGTTTATCCCCCTTTGAGAATATTCATTGGAAACATTTTGTGTGGGAACTCTCTGCTGTGTCTGCTTGGCAGGATTTGCTACAGAACCTGACAGCAGGTCTGCAGCACTTCGTTTTTAAAGGACGCAAAGAAACATTGCTACATTTTTTTTGTGTTCACGCTCACCTTATTTTTTTGCAATGCTTTGTTTTTAAAGGAAGCAAAGAAACATTTCTTGTGTATTTCTGCAATGAAACCAGCCCTAATTTTACCCATAGACCCCTATAGATGTCCCCCTATACGCGCCTCTAACATTTGGACCAATGAGCGTTATGCAGACATGTTGTTCATTTAGTCTGAATGGTGTCTCTCTTTCTCTCTCTCTCTTTCTCTCTCTCTCTTTTTTTTAAAAACGCTGTTCCCCTGCAGGACACAACAAATAGTGGGACGGGGTCAGATTTATGTGTGTGCGAGCTGTAAAGCAATAATCTGTTGCACACAATGAAGCCATAAATCCACTGACACATGAAGGGAAGTGTGTAGAGTTTTGGGGGCCTGATTTAGAACCACTGATAGGCCCATTCTGACGTTATCACAAAGTAATGAAATGTAGAGCAACCGTGAGCGAGATTAGATAGATAGATAGATAGATAGATAGATAGATAGATAGATAGATAGATAGATATGATAGGAACCCTTAAGTTGCTGATTTGCACAAATTATTTCACCTCCCTCAGCCTGCAGCGCCGCCTCAGATCGCCCTGCGTCTCAATTCAATAAAAATGAAAAATGTCTGATAATAAAAGCGCGACACGGGGAAAAACGAATTTAATATATCACCGTTTTATTACGCACTTATTTCACTTTCCCTGCGAATAAAGATATCTCTCCACCGCACAAGGTGGCTAGAGGGAAGCATAAAAATCAATTGTGTGGATTCAGAGCCATATCAATAACGGGCGCGGGGACGAGGGGCAGCGCTGTTTATATTTGCGCGTTACAATCAAATGAATAGGGACGAGAGGGATGCAGCTCAGATCTGCTTACCGACCACTGTAATTGGCCGTTTATGCAAAAAAAGAGATGCAGGATGAATGTTTGAGAGGCTCGTCGGGGTAACACGTCTGCTGATGACAGTGATGTCAGCAACAGCAGCAGCTGCAGGAGTGTGTTGGGGTGTGATGTGCGCGTCACCTGCAGGGCCTCAAAATGAATGATGAAATGCACGCACACACACAAAAAGGGATCCCATGCTGTTCTCAGAGGATCCACAGATAGACTCAACTGATGTACACAAATCTGTTTTTGTGACATTCTCACTCCGCATTTTCTCGACCTGGTCACCTCAATGTTGACAAGTCTGTAATCATGAGTATAGAACAGTTACTCCAGATTGTATTGCTGTGTTTGAGGATTATGGGAATGATTGTAACCTTTTGTTTTAAATAGAATAGAATAGAATAGAATTACTTTTTTGATCCCAAACTGGGAAATTGTGGCGTTACAGCAGCAGGTTATCCAAACACACAATATGAGCAAAAAAACACAATATTAGCAAATTTAAACACAATATAATATTAAATACAAAGTAAATAAGCACTAAAAATATCAAAACTAAGAATGGGAATATATACAACCGGGATTTAACTAAGCATTACTCGTCTTAAATATGGAAGATTGAATGTAAATGTGCAAAAACAGAGTTGTAAATGGACAGTTTTTACAAATACATGTATTTCCTGTTTTTTTTCTGTTGAGGTTTGCATCTATGTGCATTTAACTGTCATGACATTTTAGTATTAACTAAAACTGCTTGTATTTGAAGTATTTAAAGGCTCATATTTTGAACAAACTATTCATATGAGGGGCTTGTGCATTTGTGGGATTGAACAAGAAAATATCAAGATATAATAAAAATGGAATTATGGTCAAATGCATGTCACAAATTGAAGAAAGGTGGAGCTTTTGATGCAGGTGAAATGTATATAAAAACACAGTATTAAAATAAATCCCTCCATAGGGGTGTAGTGCAGGGTATACTGTATTGCTCACTCTCCATTGGGCATACCATCTTCTAAATCTCCTTTGGTTCACACCATCGATTGATTGACAATATTCAGTAGTATGCTGCATGTTTCCCCCCTACTCAGTCTCTAATTGGCTAGTACACATTAAGTAAACGTACATGTCAGGGTTTTTAACAGAGGCTGTTTATTCTCTGCAGGATGGGCCACTTAAAAAAAAAAACATTTGGGGGAAAAATTAAGAGTATACTCACTTCTTTAGGCATCACTACACCGCTGTATGAATGAATGAATGAATGACTATTTTATTCAGCCATTATACATATACAATATTATTTAAACAGTTTAATCATAGTCACAGACATGTATTATGTAGTGACTGTAAAGGAATAGGCAAAAAGCAAAAAGCTTATCTTACTTCATAAATGCATCACAAATTCTCCAGATGTTGGAGAATAGGTTTGATGTAGATGATATTAGATGTCACATCATTAAGATTGTAATTGTCTTTCATTGAAGTTAACATCTGGATCAAAATAATCATTCTTATTAATTATAAATTATATTGTAGCCTTATCATGATGTCTGTCAAATACTGCAACATGTTCTTTCTTTTTTTTATACACATCATGCTGCTGTCTTTGAGGATCAGAGTTCATGTGTGAATAAGTGTAATGTAGGGGGATTCCCCCCAAAAAAGTTTCCATTTAAAGACCCACACACTCATATCAGAGCAGACTCAACATTTCATTCTCAATAAGAGTCACAGTGAGAGGTTTCTTATCAGTTTAGTTATTCCACCCTCACTCGCCGTTGAGTGAGATGAAGCATGACTTTCCATACATATTCTGAAACCGAGCCAACTCCAAGTCAGCGACTCACATTTGTCAGTTTAACCCTCTGACAGGCCTGTTGTTCTGGTTTACGATACGACATTTAAAAGAAAGCAGCGAAAGTCGGAAGTCTGCCCTTTGCAAACTCAGTCTGAATGACGTCATGCATCAACCCGAATCTGAAAGAGTTTATTATATATTCTTTAAGGTTAATAGCTGCTTTAATGCAGATTATTGGATTAATTTCTCATAAACAACAACTATGATTGATGCATAATGTTTTAAAGAAAAGTAATTGGTGTTGTTAGATTTAGTTGATTCTATAACTCACATGTTAAGAGTTTCAATGAAATTCCAATTATGCAAACTTCCACTATGTGTCCTGTTCACATGAAGCTCTTTGAACGTACACATAATGGATAAACTTCACATTACAGGAGCAACATCCGGGTTCTCTTTATTGAGCCTGACGAGGAGAGCAGACAGCAAACGTCTTGTTTCATTATTTTCATTATTCAGCTCGCTCACTCTGATGAGTTCTCACAAGCTGCTGTGAAGCATCAGGGGATGAAAATCAGTTTTTAAAAGTTGTCTTACGTCTTGCACTTTGGGACTCTTCACGCAGATGTTTCACTCTCTAACTCGATATGATTTTAAAATGAATCACATTTGTTTATGTTTAGATTTTATTACACTGAGGCCCAGAAAATATGGAACAAATTCAGTGACAAACGTATTTAGCCAAACAACCCACATATTACGCCATTACTCCAAATTTACAAATTATCCCTGCACTCATGTTCACTTCATTTGTCTGTCTACTCGCCGTTATATTGAATAGTTTCTGCTGATAACATGTCCACACTCCTGCACTTTAACTTATGTCAATACTGTCCATTTACAACTTTGTTTTTACACATTTACATTTAATCTTTCATATTTAAGACTAGTAATGCTAAGTTAAATCCTGGTTGTATATATTCCTATTCTTAGTTTTGATATTTTTAGTACTTATTTACTTTGTATTTAATATTATATTGTGTTTACATTGTGTTGTATTTGCTAACATTGTGTTTTTTGCTCATTTTGTGTGTTGGATAACCTGCTGCTGTAACGCCACAATTTCCCAGTTTGGGATCAATAAAGTAATTCTATTCTATTCTATATTTTATCTCCTTGATGCACGTGTCTAACAATTCATTCTGCAGAGGGACAAAACTGTTTCTTAACATGTAAGTGTTACTTTCTGAACGTCTTTACATTATTTCTCTGCTCTTACTCCTTCATTAGGCTATTTGAGACTTCCCTCTATCTGCTGCAGAAACAACAGTTTTCCCACCAGGATCATTAAAATCTTATCTAATAAGCTATAGCTCTAAATCACGAGGGAATTTATTTATTTATTTATTTCTTCTAAATAAAGATCCCTAACTTATTATGGG